CCCCCGTCTCTATCCTGAATACCACAGTCAATCCTTAGGAATCCTGGAAGTCAGGGCCACATGGAGCTAGGACACAGGGGTCCTCCCGCCATTCCCTCGTGTGTGTGTCCCACACGGATAGGCCCTTATCTCAGGTCTAGGAGCTAATCTTCCTGGCTGCATCCAGCATGTCCCTGGTGACACTCAGCACTGCTCACCCACACTCAGCTCTGTTGTCCAAGGCCTGAGGGGCTAAGACACTTGGAACCAGGACAGGAGCACAGGCCTTTGCTGGCAGCAAGCTCTTAGCCCTTTGTAGGACTTGACCTTCACTGCAGCCCAGGGTGCAGATGGTACTTCCTTCCCTTCTCTCCCTGCAGCCTCTCTCCTAGAAACTGTGTGATCCCAGGGAGGGCAGGGGGGCTGCTGTTGCTCTCGCTGTGCTTGTCCCAGTAGAGAGCTGAGTGGAAGGGAGAAAGCAATCTCCCCCAGATGTATGCAGAGCACCAGCACCAGAGCTGACACACAGTAGGTCCTCCGACATGTGCACACCCCCATTCAGGTCTTGACCAGTCCCACCATTGGTCCCTGCCTCTCACTCATCTGCCTCCTCCCCTTCAGATCTCAGAACCCCAGGTTGCCAACCCAGCACAGGTCTTACCAGGGGGCAGGTGTGTCTGCTGGGTCTCCTCCCAGGTCCTTCCTCCGGGAGCCTCTGTCACTGCCATGCTGCCACCAGTGCCTGGCAGACGGGTCTCAGGAACTGAGTAAAGAGGCACCGGGACCCCCGTCTGTCCCAAATCTCCTCCTGCTGGGTAGGAGCCTGGCTGGAGGGGAAAAGGCTGCTGTGGGCTGGGCCAAGCCGGGCCTATGGGTTCCACTGTCGGCCACAAGGCTGAGGGGTCCCCAGTGGCCTCTGAGTCACCATGACGTCCCGGAAGATCCTGGTACAAGGTGTTTTCTAAGGACACAGGGCAAAGAGAAAGAAGCGAGACCTGACATGTCGTATTTTGCTTCCCACATCCTCTCTGGAAAGCAGTCACAGGGACGGGCCCCTTGATGTGGCTCCCATGCATGTGATCACAAGAATGACACAGCAGCTGGGACACCGCTCACTGCTGATGACTTAGAGTTTGCAAAAGCATTTCCCTTACCACTTGTGTGATTTCTGAGCCTCAAACCAGTGCTGCAAGGACAGAAGTTACCATCTTATGTAATTATTGCCACACTTTGCTATATTTGGATAAACTTTCTTTTGATGGCTTTGCTCCTAAGGAATTGGGGTGTTGGCCCTGGAAGGGCCCTCAGTGGTATTCGTTCTTGCTCTGCCATTCTGCTGATGGGACCTGGGCACGACTGGCCCAAGGTCACGGGATTGGAGTGGGCTGACCCACCTGCTCAACTGGGTGATAGGAGACACAGCGGCTTCCTAGAGGAAACGGCCATTCAGGCACCCAGCCTGGCTCTCCTCCAGCCCTTCGCCTCCCCAGATTCTGTGACAGAGCAGCAAAGCCAAGAAACAGAAACCAAGACCTGCCCTCCCCTTCACCCATCCCCTTCACTCATCCCTGAAGGAAGAGCTAAGAGCGGGAAGTGGCCGGAACTCAAGAGAAGGGCCTCTGGCTCCACTATGGGGTATAATTTGGACAAAGGGCACAGAATTAATCGGGGGCAATAGTGTCTGCAGACCCGACACTCAGGGGCATCCTGAGTGGCAGGAGGTGTAGGAACCTACAAGTGTCAGGATGACTGTGGCCCCTGGAGCCGTGTGGAGAAGGTGCCTGGGCCATTGGGTCAGAGTGACCCGGGTCAGGAAGACGCTCCAGGAAGAGAGGGGCAAACATGCTTTCAGTGATGTCATCTCCTATAACCAGATCCCGAGAGTCAGCTACTTACACACAGGGCTCATCAGTTTGGGTACCTGTTGTTCCTCGGGCTCCCAAAATATCTGAGTGAGCAGAATGGGGGTCCTCAGTGCCTCCGGATGCCTTTTGCTATTTAAAATAAAGGAAAGTCCTTTAAGCAACACAAAGAAAAACAAGGTCAGGGAATGATGGTCTAAAAATTAAGTCAAAAAGAAACCAGCGGGAGTGACAAGGTGAAGGACCCTCGGCTGAAAGCTGGGGGCAGGTGAAGGTCGGGAGGGCAGGGTTGTAGCCTCAGCCCTTCTAGTCTCAGAGCTGGCAGGGCCCAGGGGCCCAGGAGACCAAGACCAGGACGGGGCAAGTGCAAGGAACTCACCACCCCAACGCGTGCAGCACCCGGAGGGAGTGAGGGCCATGCGGGCCTTTAGAAATCCACCCTGTCCTTTCTCAGAGGGAGCAGGAGAAAGAAGATGGAGAAAGCCCTGTTCCAATTATTGTCACAATTACTACCAGCAGCTTTTGCAATTGTCAGAACAAAAAGGAAAGGCCCCAAAGTCTTTTAAGCAAATGCCCTACATTACATGAAAGTGGCTGGCGCGGGTCCACTCTGATCCATTGTCCCTAACGGAGAGATGGGAGCCTTGATCGGCATAAAACATATTTCTGGAACCTCAGAGAGTGTGGCAGGAATGATTCTGAAAAGGGCCCCACTGCCTCACAAGCGAACACAGGAAAAGGTTTCTGCCCAGGAGGGAGGGAGCAGCGGAGGCTGAGTGCCACCCCTTCCCAGGGCCTCATGAGTGATGGGGGACCCCAGGGCCCTCCATGGGGTGGGACTTGCCAAGGTCGGTGCTGCGTCCTCTGTGCCAAGGGGAGCTCAGAGGGAAGGAAAGGGCCCACACACTGACCCCCCCACATACACACACTCACCTCCAGCTCCTTGCGCAGCTTCCGCAGGCTCACGAGCCAGTCTGGCTCCAGGTCCCTCTCTCCCCGGCGTCTCTCCAACAGCAGAGGATCTGACAGCCTCAGTTTCTCTGCTAGCTGTGCCGGGTTTCCAGACGGGTGGGGCAGAATGTACCAGAGGGGAACAGGGGGAGAGAAGTAAGAGAAATGGAAAGAAAACGGGGAAAGATGTAGCAAGGGAAGAGACAGCACCTCAGCTCACTTGTAAATTAGATTATAGGGTGTAACCGAGAGAGAGCAAATCCAGCAGGTGTCTTCCCCAAACTGCAAAGTACATAAGCAATGAGCCCGTCTGGGTGTCAAATACTAAGTGAAAAGTGAGGAGAAACTGTTACGGGGCTTTATGTCCCTGCAAAGCCGTCTGCTCTGTACAGGTGCTTCTGAAATTTCCACGCTCATGCCCGGGCAGTGGCTCGGTTGGTTGGAGAATCGTCCCATCGCCCCACGTACCAAAAGGCCGTGGGTTCAATCCCCGGTCGGGGTGCGTACAGAAGGCAACCAATCAATACTTCTCTCTTACACTGATGTTTCTTTCTCTCTCTCTCTCAAAAAAAAATATACACACACACACACACACACACACACGTCTCCCCTCTGGTGTGGATTAAAAACACACACACAACTTCCGTGCTCATAGGACCACCTGAGACCTTGTTAAAATGCTAATTCTGATGCCAGAACCAGGCAGGGCCTGAGACTCTGCATTCCTAACAAACTCCCAGGGGATGCCCACGCTGCTGGGCCGGGGACTGCTTTGCACTGCAAGACTCTATCCCATTATGAAGTTTCAAACTCTCCTCCTGCATCCTGGGTCCCTGAGCTCACCGCCACCACCATCCCATCGGCAGAAATCGCAGAGGAAGGAGCTCAGCACCACGGATTTCACCAGTTACGGATCCTAACACTCGGGCCTCGTCGAAAGCAAAGACTGACGGTAGGCTGCCTTTTTACTCCCCGGCTAATGTATTTTTCTTCAATTAACTGGAACAACCATTTGCCTGATTGTTTTCTTCCCCAGGAACTAAAAGTTGCTATGTTTTGTTTTCTTAACTGTACCCCACATGTGATAAAGTATTCCATGCATTTAAAAGCATTTTAATAAGGGGCATTTCCTGTTTTAATCACTAAAATATATTCTCTAAGCCCAGCTTTTATAATTAGAATGTTTCGCCTTCGCGTGTAGTCTGTACCAGAGCAGCAGATGCAAGAACGAATGTCTTGCTTTGCATACACCCGGTTCCCAGTGCCCCTGTCCCACGCCCCCCACCCACAGCATCCTTCTTTGCACAGTGTCGGGCCTCGGCTTATCACGTCTGGGCATGCATGCATGGTCAAAGGCAGCCACGGGCTCCTACTTTACAGCAGGCTCAAAGAAGATGAAAGGCGGAGTCTGAGCTGCTTTGCAATCGCTTGCTCTGAACGCTGAAGATAAAACAGCTGCAGAGAAGCCTTGGAGAAGCCCACCTGGATGAGTTCCACCAACAGCACAGGGTGGCTGCTCTCTCCCTGGCTAAGGAGGGCCGTGCCGATGGCTTCACAGTAATGCAGGGCCTGGGACACAAGGCCGTAATCTGCCAGCCGGGAAGCATAAAGGAGTTTATACACCTGCAAAGAGGAACAGGGCCAATGACTCCTCCACCCAGGCAGAGAAAGGAAGAGAAAAATGTAGGTAAGGCTTCTTGGAAGTCAGCTGACTGCCAGCTTCCTCTGACTCTGGCATCTGAATGTGAAAGAGGGCCCTGTGCCATCGGGGGCATTCTATCTGTGCACGGGCCCAAGTCCAAACACAGCCTGCAGCCCCTAGAGAAAGGGATGGAAGTCACATCCACTCAGTCTCCCTAGGCTCTGGTCATCATGGAAATGCAGCCCACATCCCTAGAGAGCCTATTGTACGTGGGGCACCGGACCAGGCACCAGGGGGACACATAAAAGAAGATGGCTCTGGTGCAGGGGCTAAAAGCCCCAGGGAGAGTACAGACAAACATGGGTAAGCATTCACAGAAGCAGGCAGGACAGGGCGAGATGGAGCACGAAGGGCGTGGGACTCGGACAGACCCAAGTTCAAACCCAGCTCCATGCTGGGCGTGGAACCCTGGCTAGCGACCCCACCTCTCTGAGCCTCAGCTTCCTCACTATAAGAGGGGGCAACAGTGCTACCCGTTGGTTGTTGTAAAGATTAAACAAGATAATCCATCTGAAGTACTTAGAACAAATGACATGCAAGAGATGTGAGCCGATAGCTCTGAACCTCAGTTTCCTCTTCTGTGAAAGAGGCGTCATCACGCCCACCTCATGGGATTGGAAATGCTACTCCAGGGGCACAATAGCCCGGGGCCAGGCAAGGAGAGCACACTCACCAAAACCAGCTCATCTCGTTACTATCAGCCCGGAGATGAGGAGAGGTGGCTGGTTCAAGATGGTGGGGGGGGGGG